AAAAAAAAAAAAAAAAAGCTGTTTATTACAGTAAATTCCAAGAATTTCAGGAAAACCAAACTTCAAAGTCAAATTTGTCCGAAGCATGTGCAGCAGTAATGCACAGGCCTGTGTTGCAAATGAAATTGTCAGTTACTAATTTTATCAGCAGTTAAACAGTTCGCAAGTTTTTGTTTGCAAGAACGAACGCCTGAGGAGCTTCAAATTCGTTGATAAAAGCACTCAACAAACTCCGATACAAATCTCCCGCAAAATTAGTCGACTCAGCAAATCAGAAAACTAGCAACCAAAAGCTAATCGAGGCAGAACGTTTCGAAGAAAAAAGTTAGGAAACTGAAATAAAAGTATTGCAATACGTCGAACTTCTCAGAAAAACCACTCCTATGTTGAACCTAAATTTAAAGTAGTGCTTATTTACGGTGGCCCCGATTCGCCAACAAGCAAAAATTTCATCACCAATTCTAAAATTATACGCTTTAATGTTTGTTGCAGCCATATATTATTACAGCAATTGTACGCTCATGTTAAATACAGAAAATTGGTTTTTCAGCAAAATTGTTAAAAAATGGTTTAATTTCTGAATTAAAAGATTTAAGAAATGCATGTGATGCATATTCCAAAAATAAATTGCTGGATAATTCTGCAATAAGTATTATCCAACTTTCAGGACATTCGGAAAAGCGCAAAATTTAAATGGACCACAAATTTCCTATAGTTCTGTTCCTTTTACTAATTTTAAATTCATTAGAGCGTTAGGGTGAAATTAAGGAGCCACTGAAGTAGAACACTGTTTAAAAAAAAACATATTTCACTGCAATTCGACGCAAGTCAAAAGTTTTATTTCTGTAACTCCTAAATGGCAGCATTGGAATTCTACATCACGTCTGACAACTTCTCAACTTCCAGAATTTTTTGTTTTTGCTTTATAATGCATATTAGCCGCCAAATCTTTGCCCTTCCAGTGAAGCAGTTGAACATCTGTCTAGTTTTTTTGGTCCTTCCAAATTTGCACTTGTAAAAACGAAAGTTGGAATGAAAAATGACTACTGTAATGAAATAGACTCTGGGTGACCTGAAATGTTTTTTGTTTTCTGTTAATTTAAGGAATTTCATCTTGCCAAACCGTTTTCAGTTATTTTCGACCAAAAAAAATTTCCCTAAGCATTAGCCCAACTTATTAGTTTTAAACTGTTGACGGGAACTTTTTCAACGAAAAAGTACGTGAGCTGGCAGCAAGACTTGAAAAACTGTTCGGTGCTTAACTTCTTGCTTTCTTCACATTTTGACAAAGATCAGTTCTGACCGCAAACATTTTCACAAACCTACTCAACCGACCTCCAGCGCACTGACTACTGTAAGGCTTATTCTCAAAATAGCAGGAGATCAGTCAATGTAACGAATAGTACGGTGATTCCTGACTTTGTCGACTTATCTGCAGCCTGATGCTCTTTGGAATTCAAAAGCTGTTTGGAATTTCGTCTTAAACTTTATAAAAAATAGCTGGAACTCACAGAATGCAGGAAATGAAACTTCAGTTTTACGGAATAAAGCCAAAAAACTGTATAGGAATTCATTCAGAGAGATTACTTAAGACTTGGGCGACTGTTATTTTCTCTGATTCTTTGCGCATTTTTAAGACTCAATAACCGAGAAATTTTATACAGATAAACAACTTGTAGAAAAAACGTCCTAACGTCCTAAGCCTGGGAACATGAAACAGGCTTATCCTAAGATAAATATTGAAGTTTTGTCAACGCAAAAATAAATCTCCTAATAAAGCAATTTTATTTTAAAACTGCTTTTTAATCAAGAAAGTTGTTCGTCTGCCACTAATCTTCGCGTTAATAAAGCCTTTCCTGCTAACTTGACACTGTTAAACGGGCTGAAATACAGGAAAATATCTCCAGTCTGCTGCTGGAAAGAATTCAGAAACTTTGGCAATCCATGGTTATAAAACTTGTCGATGAGAAAAACTGAGTACTTTAGTAATCATTTTTGGATTTTCGTAAAAAAGTTTTAAATAGACGATGATAAGTCCAGACCCAAAGAACTACGGTACCCAGTTCGCCTTAAGTTTGATGTTTATGTTGGACATCTCCTTGAATATCTACGTAAATGTCCAAGTCTGCGAAGTGTGATCCAACTTACATATTTTTGGCTACAAATCTGTACTGACTCCTGTCCAAACTGGGCACCAAATCTTGCCGAATTATCTTCCCAAACGAAGGACTTCTGAACGCCCTAAAAGTCTTTTTTGTTACGTTTACAAGAACCGTTAACAAATGTAATTCCACACTGCTGACTGATTGTAACAAGCCATTCTTCAACAGATATTCATGAAATAGGTCCTGTAATAGTTTCAACTGCCTTATAATCATCTAATTATATATTTCAAATTTCTATCAGCAAATTCACGTCCTACAGACTCTTTGATAGGAAAAATCAGAAATCAGAAGACGTATACTTTATGAATAATTGTAGACAGCACAGAGCGCTCTTGATTGTAACTATCTTGAGCAGTTTCTTTTTTTGGCGATACTCAATCCGTTTTGAATTCCAACCACTTTCTCCCACATAATAAAGAAAAAATCTGCCTAGTGCTCTTCTTATGCCATCTCTCGTGCTAGCCGAGAATCCTTACTGCTCAGCAAAACCACTTTATCCTTACGTTGTACCACACATTCTTCAATTTCACAGCACTTATCACTTGTATCTCGTCCTTTATTTAAGCCAGTTCCTCAGTTTCCTTGTTTCTTGTTTATCTTTCAACATACAATGCAAAAATCCCCAACATTTCTCTACACTTCTCCCAGAGTCACTTGAAACGAGTGGTTGTCTTTGTCAGTCATCAATCAGGCTTCACAACCACACTATTACCGGAAGCACAGCGCTAAACTTTCCCATTAGCTTCGGAAGTAACTAACCAGCTAGGGTATTTCTGATCAATTTACTGGCCATCCATTCTAATGGTACCTTCCTCTCACTCTCTGACTCAACAATTTACACTTATTTTTTGGGCAAGGTACAGGTAACTGCCGACTTCTTTGACGCTTCCTCAAACGATCAGAGTTATTGATTTGTCTGCCCATGGTTTCCCATAATTTTCATCTTTCTTTGTCCAGTTCTGTTTCTTAGCTTGTTGCACTGAATCGTAACATTACTCGGAGGTTTTTCATCTCTTAGAGATTTAGGACGAGTGACCTTGTGCATGTTAGTCGTTACTCTTAAATGAGAGCTCCACCTGCTCAGGTTTCCCAAGCAAGCAATGAACGCTTCTAGAAACGGCGATCTTCTGTGCCGCAAATGAATAACACTGAATATTGAATACACATTACTTAACTGAGAACTGATCGTAATCAACGCTCCTTGTGGTCTCTTTTAAACACAAATCTTTTATTCTATTTCCAAATATGCAGTGGCATTACCCTTTTTAAACATTGAATGCAACTGACTTAGCACCCGAAGGAAGTAAAAAAATTAGCTTAAAATGGCTAGTCCTTCACCAAAATTCTGCCTACGTTTTGCAAGCTAACAATGAAACTAATTTTAATGTGTACGGCCATGCAGTACCCTTCTTACCGCTCTCTGCTAACTTTTGGCTGCTCCAGATGATCGTTTCCCTAATTTAATGTTTATTGAGATAGCTTCCGCTAACTTGTACACAGTTGTCTACGTTGAAATTGCTGAAAAAACTTGTTTATTGATATTTAAAATTTTCAACACAGCTCGTATTAACGTTAAAGAAGTGATCAAATCAAAATGGTATGTTAACACAACATCAAATGACAATTAAAAAGTAGCTTCGATAGAAAATCAGAAACTCGGTGAAACAGAAGAAAAGATGCTTTATAACAATTAATTGCCTTCAGGGAAAACAACTTCTGTAACCGCAAAACCTGTTAAGCGATTTATGATAACAAAACACAGATTACGAATATCGACTAGGATGAGACACTGACTTAATGCTAAATCATTACTTTTAGCCTCATTAAAAAAAAAAAGGAAAAAAAAACACAATAGTTTAGTTGGACAAAAATTTCAAGGAGGAGAATACTTAAGTACAGACCCGCACAATTACAGTTCATATAAATGTGTACAATTATGAATCCAGCAATGAAATATTCGACATTTCCTGACAGCGTCTCAATCCTCCTTTTGAGTCCATAGTATCCGTTTCTTTTCGGTAATCTAACGAATGACACTTTTCTGAAAAAAAGAAACCAAGCATAAATTTATAAAAAGTCATCATAAAGTCCCCTCAGTTTTCAAAGTAAATACTTGAATAAAAACGGAGAAGGAAGTATTGAAACGGGTTGCAATGTATTAAACTTTGCATACATATAAACTGGTCATTCTAACAATTCTAACAGTAGCTGATAAAAAAGAGTTATAAGCTATTACCACTTATCCACTGCATCTTCAGTTAAGACCTAGATTTAAAATTTATTCGTACAGAGTTTGCAAAAAAAACATACTACTTATAAGCTATTATCACATAGTAGACGCCTAAATTAATTATCAACTGAGACGTAAAAAAACCTAATCCAACTCCTCCTGTACCCTCCACTGGCACAAGTCGATCCAGAGATTGGATAGTTTTGTATTGCAATTCTTTCAATCCAGATGATGCTGTGTTAGAAGATTCCAAAAAATCGTCACTGTTTCTTTCACTAACTGAAGCTAAAAATAAATTATTGCAATTACGCAGCTCATCGAATGTTTCAAAATATGCGAAAAAAATTGACGTTTACATTAATATTCAAAAGGACCTATCTACTTTTAGATATGCGAAATATGCATATTCAAAATACAAATAACACTATACTATCTTTGTAAGTTATTAGGTTTTTGAAAAATTGCAAAAGTTAGGATTTCTTGCGACCATGAAAATAAAAGACAAATTTAGCAAGAATATTTAGTCAAAAGTTTTCCTCTTCCACCAAAGAATGCAAAAATTTATTTAACACAACATAGAACATCCAATTTTGACTTCATACTCAAAAGCAAAAAAAAGCATTAAATAAAATCTTAATTAAAAGAAAATGAAATAAGTAATTTGTTCTCAAAATATAAATACCATTACAACCACTGTCGCCCTTTTGTGCATTTTTCCTCTGTTGTGCATATATATCCATCCAATGCTTCAACGTTTCGCGATCATCAGAATCTTGATAAAGTTTTACCAAATTTATTAAGTCAGAAGAGTCACCTGAAAAAGTAATTAAAAATCACGGTAAATAAAGCTAGATGAACAAACAGATTTGGCCTAATCAAATAATAACGATAAGTTTCTGAAAAGAAAAGTAACAATACAGCTAATTCTCGAAATACCAACCATTTTTAAAGGTCAAAAGTAAGAAATAGCAGAGCAGCAAAAAAAATACCCAATCATTTCATTAATAAAAAATAAAGCATTTTATTAATGAAAAATATATCTACGGAAGTGTTAAAAATGTTGAGGGGTTACCTGAACACCCAGCCCTGAAGAAGATTTTTTTAGACACAGGGCGTTCCGAACATTCTGCCAAACCATCGTCATAAATGAACTAAACAAGTCAATTAGACATCAAATTTAGCCTTGAACTAAAAAAGTCAAAAGCGAGTTCCTTGACTTAAGAATTATTCAGCTCTTTAACAACTCAAATTAGTGAATAAGTTCTAAACGAAAGAAAATAAGTCAAGGCTGATTCAAAAAAGTTTAAAAAAATTTGTTTTACTGCAGTAATTTCAAAACTAACTTTGAAATTACGTGAAGAAGAAGCAACAGAAGCGTCAATGCTATCATCATCTGAAATATTCAAGATTTAATAGCAGAAAAATTAATAAATAAACACCTGTAGTGAAACATTCGTTTTTAATGCATACTTAAGAAAGAAGTCCCAAAATTCTTTGCCCGTCAATTTTTTTACTATTTCTAAATACGGTGTCCATAAAATAATGCATAAAAAGGTCAAAATCACTTTCCTTTATTGATACTATAGCTGCTTTTTGCCTAAAATTGGTCACTCATCTAAGCCATAGGATTCACAAAAAACAAACATTTGAACAGTTTCATTAATTACTAGCTTTCCGTATTTACGCACGTTTCCAACTGGAAAATCTATCAAACCTCATGAAGCAATAGAATAACTTTTAACACGTCTTTAAAAAAAATTTCTGAATTTTTTATATCAAACTACTGACAACTATTGATAAATTTTTTTTTGAAGATGAAACAGCACCAAAATTCAGAGAACAGCACTTGCCTACCCTTGTTTCTTAAAAAACGAAAGTCAAAAAGAAGGGACCAATTTTTATCTCATTATAGTTACCAACATGAGTCTCTAAATTCAATAGAACAGTTAGTACCTTTTACCACAAATTAGCTATCTGCAATCCCAGTTACAAAATCTGCATAATAAAATTCCCTAACAGCTAAGTACATACTTTGATTATATTCTAGCAGCGTAACTTCCAACTACAGTAAGCAAGAACTTTGCACTGCTAAGCACATTATGATTGACCAACTGTTTAAATTTATTCATAAACGTAAACACTAGTTTTTTCAACGTCATCTCAAACTAGCTGAAAAGACAAGTATATGCAAGTCTACTGATTTCGGAACATAATTCGTACTGTTTTCGTCATAGGAAATAGATCTCTAAAAAGTAAGTAAAAAGCTTTTTATAACACAGTTGGTGAAAAATAAAATTACGCCCTACCCAATCAGACCAAATTTTGAAAAAGTGAAAAATATGGCACACACAAACACGAAGAACCATCACGTAAAAATAGTGTTTGAAAATTACAACCCTTTACACAAAATCTTAAACTGCAATCTGTTTCCAAACGTATTAACTTCCCACTAAACAGCTTCTGTGTGTTTTCAAGATAATCTAACAATTTATACCACCGACTTAAATATCATTCTTGTCAAGCTTTAGGACAGAAGCAAGCTCGTTTACAAAATATCATTTAAACTTCCTCCTAATAATAAAATTCTTATAACGATGAACTTGCTATTTTTTTGAATTCATTTACCATTTGAGAAACAAATTTCCAACCATTTTTAAAGACTAATTTTTCCCCGCTTCTGACCGAAAGGTTTTTTTAATATTTCATCAATTCTTAGTTTTTCAAGTCCTCTTCTGCCCTGAGAAGTGTTTTTTCAGCGAAAAAGTCGTTTGATAAACCATAATGTGTGGTGCCCTCTGGAGTCTATATATTCCCCTGAACCGCTTGCAACCCTTCAACAAAGTAAACAAGAGCAAGATTCCTGTAATTATATCACCAATAGGTTGAGAGGAAACTACTCAACACCAAGGCACTATAACAAAGCCAAAACCCAGATGAAGGCAGAAAAACCATTACAAAGTGAATTTTAATAGTCAAAATTCCCGCAGCCCACGAATTCAAAATTAATTAAGTTAAAAATTGCTCCAACTTACATAATACAGTCAGTAAAACACATGTCTCATGATGCCGCAAGCAGCAAAAAAAATCTACTCTTTTTAATAATGAGTCCTACAGAAACGTCCCTAACTTTTAAACCAACTATTTAATATTAAAATTTTAAACACAACTTTACACTGGTAATTCTTTTCGAAGTGGTAATTAGTGGACTTAGAACGTGACAGATAAGCTTGCTGCTTCTTAATAGTATGATGAGCTAAATCCTTAGCTTAAAAAAAAGCTATAAAAATATGCCTCTAAATTAGCAACCAGTATTACAAATTATTTCCTAGTCACCAATCTAGGTTGCACTTTTCTGCCCCACCATTTATTCATTTTCCTCTGAACAATACGAATCAGCTGTAAATGAACGCCGAAAATGACAAAACAAATACAAATAATATTGGCGCATTCATTATCATTTTCAGCTTCTGGTGCTGAAACTCCAGTTTCTCACTTCACCTTATAATTTTCAGATAATGTTGGCGCATTCATTATCATTTTCATTTCTATTGCTAAAACTCCAGTTTCTCACTTCGCCTTATAATCTTCAGGCATTCAGTTACATATTGAATAATATTCCTCTTTAACACATGATCCATTTTTGCTACCAGCAATGATGCTCCAAGAAAAACAGATCACTTCTTAATGCTCAATGACCCTCCGCCACGTTCAAGATTCTCAGCTCTTTCGTCTTCGGCTCTTCCGTTGCTTAACACTTCATCAAATTCATCCGTTAATCTTCGCAGTCCTTTAAGTACAGTCCCATACGTAATTCAGCTTCTTTTCTTATTTGGTTACACTCAAAATTATCACTAGTTTATTTCAACTAAGCCAATTTAAGCTACTGCTGTTTATTACTACCGACCGGAGATCACAATTCTTTTTCCAAAAAACTTATTTCAAAATAAAGAACCTATTTAGACTAAATTACTTAATAACATCGTAATGGTTTATTCTTCAAAAAATGTAACAGTATCCATTTATTTATTTTTTTTTATTTCTTCGCTCAGAAAAACTGTACGACTACAGCATCTATGTCCTGTAAAAACTAAAAGAAATCAATAAAAAAACTTACAATCAGCCATTTTAAAACAAAAACAGACAAAAAAATTAGAGAAAAAAGCTAATCAGGCATTAAAATATTTTCTGAAAAAATAGTATGCTGACATTTGTTCAGCCAAATATGAAGCAGAATTTTCCTAACTTTATTTATTTAAATAAGCAGCATTTCTGAAGACGATTTTTGAAATAAACAATTTAAAGTTTTCGTCTACAAAAACAAAACACTATACTTTTTTCCTCGATACATCTGAATTAATTTACGATTTCCTAGCTGGAGAAATTCCTTAAACGGCAAAATACAGTTTTTTTAGAACATTCAAATCCCCAATCTCCTATTAACTTCATTTGCTTTCAGCACTTCTTGTATTTCGGTTTTCGCAGATTCTAACCCATCTACCCCCTCCAATCCAAGATAGTTTTGTCTACCAACGAATTCGATACATGTTTGTCTTGTACATTATCCTGCACCCTTAATAATACTTTATTAACGTGTGAGATTTGGCCTCATAGAGTATGCGCTAAATTCCTAAACTTCCAAATCCTAAAGCAATACACTTTGAAAGTTTCAGCAGCAAATCTATCATTCAAGAAATTCACCTAAATTATCATTTTTACAAAAAATATTCCCAAACAAAATCGTCGTAATATCTACTCCAAATTTACATAGCGATGGCGAGGTTAAGCTAAGAAACAGAACATTTTCATCATCAAAGTTACCATGATCAATTACATGACTTATCTCAAACCGCACTGCAGGCCTTCGAGAAAGCCTATATCCGCAGTTAACTTAGAGCTTTCGGTAGCGCTAAGTTTACTTAAACCCCACACTCTTAAAAAGCCAAAAAAATGCCCACGCCACCTACGAAGAATACTTACTTTTACTTAAGATTTCTCAACCTGTACAAAAACAATTTTACAAAGACTCGCATCTCAGACAGCCCCACAAATGCCTTTTTAGTACAGTAGTACGCTATTTTATCAACCTCAGAATCTTTTAAACTTTACGCCTCAATAAAGACATAGGATGACCTCGCGCACGAAAAAGCAACACTGAAAAAATAATTTCCTTCACTGATGTGAGATGCAAAAAAATTATAGGATAATTAGCAGATTTAAAAAAATTACCTTCACTATGACTCAGCTTTTGCCATAAGCCCTACTGGTTAATGTCCAAGTAAAAAACAATGTATGGATCAGAAGTAACACTGAGAGAACTCCCATTGAAAAAAATCAATCAATTAAGGTAAAGCTGCTCTAAAAAATGTTTTTGACCGGCTTAAAACTATCCAAAACTTAATGTACAGATAATTTTCCCTATGATGCTTTTTCAAAAGACCGTCTCAGATTACCAATTTTTATGTTTATTTCTTTTTATTCCTCTTCGAAGCTTAAGTATTTTAGAGTCATCTTTACAGTTCCAGGATGTTATTTAACAACGCAAGATGTATCGCTTAGAAACTTATAGAAGCTACATTAAGGCAAAAAATAGTAATATTGAAAACCTGCGCCACAAGAATAATGTGCTAAATGACCTGAAACTCTTTCAATGAGGAAGAGAGCTTCTGTAGAAAGATAAAGTCTCAGGCATTTTAATTCAGGCTTGTAGACTACATCAAATTTCCAACTTAAATGCCACTCCTTTCCTTCAGCGCAAATGAAACAAATAAAGATTGCCTGTGTTACATCGTAAAAATGAAACTTCAACAAGTAACTTAGCAAGTAAAACAAAAATAAGCAAAATTACCAAACAGCACAAAAATGAAAGAAAGTGCTCCAAAAAAGGAACACTTAACTATTTGAAGGTCCCACGCAAAAATTTTTACTGCACCAAGTCTTTGATAAAAAGGGAAAAGTCTTTCATTATAGGATAGAAGAAAAAAAAGAAACTTGATTTGTAATAAAAAGTATCATGAATTAAAAATACAAAATATAAGACTAACCGCAGTTCTCACATGGTAAATAAGGTGTTGAGCCGTCCTTACTCAAAATACAACAGACATCAAACAACGGCATAATCTAAAAATTTTATAATTTCAAAGTCTATTTGACCAACGTAAAAAGTTTTGAAAAAAGAACTGAACCTGATACGAAAGACGACTGAAAAAAATCAAATAAATATCTCAAAAAAAACTCCCATTCTAACAGAAATAACGCCAGGCATACAGTTCAAAAAAAAATTAAAAAACTTATTTGATTAAGTACAAACAAAAAGTTGTCGAGAAACA